GTGGATTTTGTATGGTAGAGAGTTGTGAAGAAGAAAGAGAAATGTGTAAGAAATGTTGTGAACCACAAATTCTTTATCAAAAAGGGAAAGTGGAAGTTTTAATTGGAACGGACGAAAAAGGAAAGTTGGAAGTTTATTTAGGAACGGGGGAGTATCTCTTATTAACCAGATAAACAACAACAAAACCATCAAGATAGGTATATCCACGTGAGCCAGAAGCTTTATGAATTCATACACTTCTTATGTCTTTGTTCAATATTCTACGCCGTATTATTTTATGGTTCTGGGTCCTAATCTCCTATGTATGATGCATTCATGTACTCCCTCCGTTCCTAAATAAACTTTCAACTTTCTTTTTTCGTCCGTTCTAATTAAAACTTCCACTTTCCCTTTTTGGTAAAGAATTTGTGGTTCACAACATTTCTTACACATTTCTCTCTCCTCTGCACAACTCTCCACCACACAATATACACTATCTTAAATTTTGTGCCAAATCCATTTGGAAGTTAAAATGGGAACATAGGTAGTATCAATTATTACAATTTGTGGTTTACTAATCTAACCCACCCACTTGCGGATATGAGTAGACTTGGAAAATTGGAGAGTAATTTTTTTTATTAAGATACACTTTAAAAGCTCAACCATAGGGGGGAAGCACCTACTAGTTTCCTCATGAGTGGTAAACCATGTGAAATTAATTACTATCTCCGTCTCTTAAAACTTTCCTTTTTTGAATGTTTCACTAATTTTGTCACTTTACCTTTCAAGTAAAGAATTTGTGGTTCCAGTTAATTCTTTCTCCTCTGCACAAACCTCAACCACACAATTTTTACTTTATTAATCGCTATGACGTTCAAACTTAGGCAAAGTTTTAAGGGAATGAGGGAGTCCTTAATTGTCGCTGGTCTGGTTTTCTTATCATAAATTTTAGACCTATATGTATTCATTACCATTCAATGCTATTGCCAAACATCACGGCCATTACCTATAAGCTTGACAGGTAGGCATAGAATCTTACGTACAGGCCTTGTCAGGCAAGGGTATATGGAATATCGCCTTCCATTAAAAACCTTTTCTGAAACAAGTTCCACGTTTCCTTTTCGGGCAGATTCAAAATTAAGTTCCACTTTCAAACAATTCCTTATTTGGCAATTATCTACATCAAAACAGTGTCAAACAGTGCCAAACAGTATTCAAACAGTGCCAAACAGTGTTCAAACAGTGCACTACACAGTAAAGTCAATTTTTTTTTCTTAATATGTGTGAAGTCAAATGTGGAACTTGTTTCAGAAACGAAAGGAGTATGGTCAAAATCATTACGTGTACCTTTTTGCGCATTATGCATAGAGGAAAGAGTACAATTTTGTTCACCCCTTTAAGGAGGGTGAACATCACCCTCTTCCCATTTGTTGGCATGTGGCTTATTATCCCTTTTTTCTTAATTTAAAAGCATTCATGACATGTGGCACCTCAATAGGAGTGGGGTGATGTTCACCCTCTTTTGAGGGGTGAACAAAATTATATTCGAGAGGAAAGGCCGGACATTTGATACAGAATTTACTAGTAGGGGCTATCCTTCATTGACCCTGCTCAGTAAATTTCTCGATAAAAGTGAAGGTTATCTGGTTGGGGATGCGTGCTTGATTGAAGCTGAAGTTTGTGTCCTGCCTGATGCTTGTGCAGCTTCCACCAATAATGTTAGTTCATACTCGTATATACGGAGTATGAGTGAATGAAGGTGAAGTTTATCTACATGATATTGTGCGGTGTGTTTTCCCAATTGTAAATGACTACTTTTTTTGTAATAGTTGAGTGAAAGAGTTGTTCATCCTATTATAATTCTGTTCTGGTTATGAATAGAAAATTTTTCCATTCCTAAACAGGAGAGTCGAGAATTTCTCGCAACTGGAGGTTAAAATGCTTTACTCTGCCACGTTTCTCGTGAATGGGAAGAAATGGTATGCCCCTATACTTGGACAAACATTAGTGAAAAAAATATTTTTTATTAAACATATTATCATTAAACATATTAGGATCGACTTTCTGTTCGGCAACGGTACGATATCGATAAAATTATCATGCATGTTTCCCAATATAACAAATTATCATAAATTAATGAAATATACTAAATCGGTGTTACTAGCGACAAATTTAATCTATTGTTAAAATGTTACAAAATACAATTAATAATGTATTGATATCATATTCAATATTGAACAATAATTATTATTAGTATATTTAAACAATTCAACATGCCACGTATTAAAACATAACACATTCTCCTAAAATAACTTGAACAATCAGAGGCGGACCCACTAAGGGTCACACGGGGTTCCGGGACCCCATGGACTTCCAAAAAAATACATATATATATTATATATATTTTATATAAATTAATAAAAGAACATATATATATGTACGTCGGAAACTTACTTGGAATGTAAAGGTCGTTATGGTGCAATGGTAGCACCCTTGAAGTTGAAAGGTTTCCATTCCCGGAGGTAAGGGGTTCGATTCGTTGTTTATTATTTCAATATGATCAAAAAAGTCATATTTAAGAAATTATAAACATATAGTCTTATTTATGTACTTTGATAAAGTTTTAGTTCTATTTAAAGCAATAACTATTTTTAGTAATACTAACTATTTGAATATATACCAAAAGTAATATATAGCAAATTTTCACTAATAAAAATCAGTCATTTAATTCATCAAAAACTAGTACCCAAAAAATATCAAATAAGTGACCATATTTCCAAATATCATTTATTTATTGGTTTGATATTAGTTTTTGATGTCTTAAATGATTGGATTTCTAGTAGAAAAGCGACTCCATTTTATATTTGTTATACACTAAAATAGTTGATATTATTAAAAGTTATTTCTAAACTACGTATTAATCTTGGTTCATGGAAGATAGTTGGTATTATTTAAAATTTTGCCTATTTATTATTCTAAAATATCAAAACTACGTTGTTTTGGCAATCAATTTCGACCAATGATATTTTTCAATATAAGAAATTATTTTGAATGTGAAAATTATATCAAAATATTCATGATTCAAAACATTTTCATAAAACTATAAAATTTATAAATTGTATACAAATATAATAATTAATATAATTGTCCAAAATTTGCTATTATTGACTAAGAAAAGTCAATATGACGAACTTTTTCAGAACAAAAGTGATATTAATTAGAGTTACATTAGGGTAGGGACCCAATGACTTTATTTTTCTGGGTCCGCCACTGTGAACAATATAGATATAATTAAATCAATAGTGATCTCTAACAAAAATAAATAAAATCATTCAAACAACATGGATTTAAAATCTTTTATTTCTAATATGATATTGTGTATTTAGTCATTTTTATAATTAAAAATAATATGTGAATAAGACTTTCAGACAAAGTTGTGTGTCTCGACTTGTAGAATCCCTATGTAGATACACTCGTCACATAAAATGTATTCCTCTTCACACATTGGCTACTCAACGATTCAGCCATTGAAATTCGCAAGCTCTTGGAATAAGATGGACTTTTTCCAGACATTAGTACATTACTCATTAGTCATTAGGGTTAGTTTGTTTGAATTTACGTAGTAGAAGCGTAGAAGGTTATAGTGGGTTTGGGGAATATGGTCTTTATTTTTGTATTTTGGTATTTGTAATCAACATAAGTATTAATTTTGGGCTTCAAAATTGTAATGGACTTTTACAATAATTTAGAATTAAAAGTAATTGTTGGGTAGGGAGTCGGTACGGGATCATTCCGGTATACCTCGTTATTTGAAAACATATATCGTTACCATACAGAAATAAATCGGTACGGTATCAATATTTGAAAAAATGGCGGTATATCAAAATTTTGATATTTTCCGATATATTTCGGTACAGTAAGTGCGGTAACGATTTTCCTGTATATTTTCCCGAAAAAATTCCACTTTTGGTCCCATGATTATTATACCACTTCCACATTTAGTCCCATACTTTCAGATTGTCCACATTTAGTCCGTGATCATTATATATATTGGAAAATTCTCAAGTCCAGCACCTCCCGGTCCGAACCCCGTCCGAACACCGCAGTTTGGGTCGGTTACAGGTGGAATTTTTTGATGAAATTTTTTGAGCATGTTCCTCATCAAGTCTAGTTTATCCATACCAAACTTCAGCTCAAAATTCGATCGTGAAGGCAGTCAAATAATTCGTTGAAGTTAACTGCGCCAAATTATACATAGAAAAACGCAGTTAACTTCAATGAATTATTTGACTGCCTTCCTGGTCGAATTTTGACCTGAAATTTGGTATGATTAAACTAGACTTGATGAGGAACATGCTCAAAAACTTTCATAAAAATATTCCGCCGGGAACCGCCCCAAACGCCGGTGTTCGGACGGCGTTCTGACAGAAAAGTGCTGGACAGAAAAGTTATACCGATCGAGACTTATGATGTTAATATTAGAGATGAGTTGAGGAAACGTTATTTGAGAAAAAATCCTTGCCAACCGCGTGACTTTAAATTTCCACAAAGTGATTTTAATGGGTGCAACAAATCATTCCAAAAATAGTGGTTTTATTTAAATTTTATAGTTTGTTTATTGCTATACTCGTGATGCATATGATTTTTTTCTAGACTAGTATATCATATCTTTGTTATTGTGCCTATGCGAGTCACGAATCCTGGTTCCGCCACTGCCCTCACTACTCCTCATCCTTCCAGCCAAAATTCTGGCAAATTTAGTCTACTTATCAGCCTCAGAATCAATATTTGCATTAAATTTTATATAATGTTGAGTTTTTTATATCTGTCTTTGCATTAAATTTGTTTTTCCATACCTAAAAATTGCATTATATTTGCAAGAATTTTGGCTAAAGGGAAGAGAGGTGGTAAGGATAATGATCACAGATTAAATGTGGACAATCTGAAAGTATGAGATTAGATGTGAAAATGTTATAATAGTCACCCACAAAAACTGGTTTTTTTTTCCGCCCTCTGCTGAATGCCCTTAATTACGTTTAGTAATACGCGGAACTACGTATGATTCAAATACAACTTCCCAGGTCCCATAAACAATAAATTCCAGAAACCGAAAAGCTCAACGGGCTTCAATATGATCATTTCTTGCGAGGCTTCCTTCCCACCTTTCTGTTCGCATCAACTCCTCAGTCATTCTTCAGCAGCAGTTGAGTTTTCCATACTCCACTTGGCCCTATCAAATCGCTAAGTCGGTGTATTCGTTAAATAGCGCATTTATAATCGCCGATCCGCTTTTCTAAAAAAAAAACGATTTCTCACATTGAAATTGTTCAAGTTATGGAAGTTCAATTGTTTTGTTCTAGTTTTAATAATACTTTTTATTTGGCCGAATGAAGGAAGGAGACAGAGTTTCAGAGGCTAAAGCAAAATCCCCATGGATAAGCTGGAGTCAAAGTTTACTTGGAGGGTCGAGAATTTCTCGCAACTGGAGGTTAAAATGCTTTACTCTCTCACGTTTCTGGTGAATGAGAAGAAATGGTATGCCCCTATACTTGGACAGACATTAGTGAAAAAATACGGAGTATTGTTTATTAAACATATTATCATTATGTATGTGTGAAAGAAGGATTGTACTTTCACTGATATTTTTTGCTCTACAGGAAGGTGATCCTTTTTCCCAAAGGAATCAAAACCAATGATGATCATTTGTCTATGTACCTTGATGTGGTTGACTCGTCGCACTTACCCAATGGCTGGAGTATACCATCAACTTTCAGTATAACTCTGATTAACCAGATAGACACCAACAAAACCATCAAGAAAGGTATTTAAGTAGAATGGAAATGTGTTCTCTTGGCAATGGTGGAGCCAAAGATGTCTTAGGGTCAACATTTAGCTATACGTAGTACTAAAAAATCATTTTCAGACAATACTTGATTTTGAATAACGTATACGAAGTGGTAGAAGAATTTTTGGGGACGTTGAAATGGCATTTCAGCCAAGGTACACCTAGGAGCTTATCGAAAAGGATATTTTATTTGTTTGATGTATATATATCAAGTTTAAGTAGATAATGATTCAATAAGATATTAATTTTCAAAATGTGCTCATAAAATTAGGGAAATGAAACATAGGTACAATTTTCTGGCACATGTGTACAATATTTCCAGAGCATGTCCCATATTGTTCCAAATTGGAAATATAGCACATGTCAAAGTTTACTTATTTCTAGTTTAAGGCCGTAGTGGTTTTAGAGAGTCCATAACTTTTAATACGGAACAATGAGACACATAACATATCAAATTGAACCATAGGAGACTCAACTCAGAGACAGACAAAATTTAGTCCAGGAGAACAATTCCTGCTGTTTCTTTCTATATTTATTTTTTGACTTGTCGGTAATTTTTACTTGTATGTTTCAGGATATCCTGAATTTTAGATGGTAAGATGATTTAACACTTTACATGCTTGAATTTTCTCCCAATCAACTATGTCACCCCTGTCTTGGACTTATTTATTCTTGACCAAATCAAGCCATATGAGACTCGGCTTAGAGACAGACAAAATTCAGTTGAGGAGAACAATTCCTGCTGTTTCTTTCTGTATGTGTTATTCGACTTCTTTTTAATTATTACTTGTACCTTTCAAGATATCATAAACTTTAGATGGTAAGTCTTCTAAATACTACCACTTGATGTGTTATTTGTTTACATATCAGCAATCTAATTTTGTTTACATATACAGAGTTAGCACACACTTTCAATGCTCAAGAAAGTAATTGGGGCTTCGAATCATTTATATCTCTAAGTGAATTACATGATAAGAGTGGAGGTTATCTCTTAGAAGACGCATGCTTGATAGAAGTTGAAGTACATGTGCCTGTTGATGTTTCTCCAACTGCTAACCATAAAGTACATTTTCATGTTTGATTGAAAAGCAGAAGTATAACTGCATGATATTATTTTCTTGGTGTTTTTTCCTATTTTTAAATGACTTTCTCCTTTTTTCTCTTGGTTATCAGGCTTTAGATTCTTCTATTTCTATTCTTGATAATGTGGGATCTGTGCACAACCAGGCTCAGTCTTTTCTCCAGTCACTGTCCAAGAAACCACTCACCTCAGTAGCTAGTGCCTCAAATAGACGAATACCTCTGCTTAAACGATATTATGCAAAAGAAATCCTTGACATATTGATATCATCCTCTTTGGATGATATCGCTGATCCCAGCAATGAAAGTGCAATAATGGAGTCTTTGTCCACACTCATAGACTTACCTGATTTGTGTGGTCGGGGCGTGGGAGAGGCCATTATGAACTTGAAATACACTTTTCCAAAAGTGGTGCAGGAATGGAGAGACTCATATCAAGTTAAGGGAGGTAGTGAGCATCCGTGGTCTACTTTCGAGAAAACCAAAAGCGTTCTTGAACATTTAGTGAAAGTGGAGGAAGGAATAAGGACTAAACTGGAGGAGCTAGACAAGAACGAAAAGGAATTGGAAGCTCAGGTGGAGGCTGTCGAAAGCAAGAGTCGAAAGCTCAAAGAGGAAAGGGAAGAACTATCAAACCAGACGAACATAATTTTTTATCTTGTTAAGGAACTGGATCGGGAAGTTGAAGCAAAGGTGGTTGAGGTAGACCGGGATAACCATACAGTGGAGGAGATCTTGAAGGCAAAGTGGGCTACTACAAGACAACTCTTTGCTTGATATATATGAGCTCTCTAGAGTCTAGAGTCTGTAATTTACATCAGATATGCCAACATCTTGTCTTCTGTCATCCATTAAGGTAGTCGTTATTATGTGCCAACTCTCTGCTTATCAGATTTTAACGCATCAAATTTTCTTGGACTTTCATTTTTCAATGAAGTATTTCTTGTGAAACTATAATTCTTATTTTCTCATCTTTAAAGTAGATTTGTTTTTAGTTCACATTTTGATAAACTTGTAGAATAATGACAAATTATGTTAGACTTTATATAAAATTTTCAAACCTTAGCTTTTGATAACATTATTTTTTGCTTTTGATAACATATACTACGTACTACTCCCTCCGTCCCTAAATTATCTTCAAACTTTCCTTTTTCGTCCGTCCTAAAATTATCTCCTCTTCCCCTTTTAGCAAAAAAATTGTGGTTCACAACCATTCTTACACATTCTTACACATTTCTCTCTCCTCTGCACAACTCTCCACCACACAAATCTCACTATCTTAATAAATGTGTCCAGCCGAAAAGGGAGAAAGATTAGGGACGGAGGGAGTATGTAATTTCGACGGGGTAAATTATACCAAGTGATCGGCACCCATCTCACCACAGTATTGTTTTCTTCTTTTCTGTTCTTCCACACCTGCACACATCCTAAGATGGTGTGCATCTTTTCCCTCTTCTTTCGACATAATCGGTTTTTCTTTTTTCTTCTCTATATTCTATTTTTCTTATATTATCTTCTTCCAATTACGAGGATTATATGCATCAATTTGGGGTTTTCTACTTCGTAAATTAACAATTTGAGAAGTTTTCATTCTCGTTCGAGCAGTGTCTCACTGTCTTGTGTCTTCATTTCCAGTAATTTCATTTTCAATTTCAACTATAATCATCGTGTCCATTACATACACAAAAACATAAAAGGATTTTGCTCTTTTTTGTTTATGCAATGAAAAGGTGCAATCTTTATTTCATACGGAGTACTACGTGTCTACGTATAACAAAGCTTTTAGCTTTTGCGTTGTATACTAGAAAACTCATCATCATTGTATCATATTTAAAGCATACACTACCCTATTTGTCATTCTCAACAGTAATATTTTTACACTTATTAACCGCGATTACGCCAACATATTGAACATTTAACACATTTTATAATGAATACGCTAAAAATCGTTTACAACTGGTGTTAAAAACTCAAAAATAATTAGACAGATGAGACTAGATTAAAACATACCACACAGGCACACCTGAATTCAGTAGTTCTAAAACACATATACACTAGACATTCATCAGGCCTAACTATACTCATGATGTTTTTACTTAAACTTATTTCACTCCTAGAACATAACATATCGCACTTCAACGGTTGTAGAATACACATTTACTCGATAAAACCATATTTAAATAGACTAGATTAGATCAAACCAGACTAGAAATAATTTCAGTCCACAATTAAAAATATCCGCAAACACACTAGACCAAATAATGCAAGGGTTGGCTTAGGGGTGGACTCGGGCCGGGCCAACCGGCCCGGAACCGGACCGGCCCGCCACTGTGCGGGCCCGGACCGGCCCGGGAACCGGTTCGTTGGGCGGTTCGGGCCACCCGGCCCGGTGGATTCTCGGTTCGGGCTCGGGCCCTTCAAAAGGTGAACCGGCCCGGCCGGTTCGGGCCCGGGCCGGGCCAATTTTAATTTTTTTTTTGAATTTTTTTTGAGTTTTTGGGTTGGGCTGGTTATTTTGGGCCATTTGAGGTGGTTAGGGTTGGTTTGGGGGTGAGGGGGAGGGGTGGGGGTTAACTAGGAAAAGCCCCCAAAAAAAAAAAAAAAAAAAAAACCCGAGGCCCGGCCCCGCCTGGACCCGGGGTTTACCCGGACCGGTTCCGGGCCTCCCCTTCTTGAACCGAGGCCCGGCCGGGCCCGAACCGGCCCGAGTCCACTCCTAGGTTGGCTAATAAGGCTGGTGGCTAGGAGGTGGGGCTGGTGGGGCAAGGGGCGGGGCTGGTGGGGCAGGGAATGACTGTGGTCTGGGGCGGCCTAGGCAGCTGTTGGAGGGGCGGCAATAGTTGCGAACATTGTTCACTATATCGTCATGGTAGTACTTGTGATGTCAGATTATATTAGTAGAAGTAATAGTCTCTAATTCTCTTTTTAGTCTCCTATTTCAAAAAATGATTTACTTGATTAATTAAATTCCATATATTTTCAGAAAAAATAAAAAACATTTCTTTTACATCCAATTATTCATTTTTAATATTACCTTTGCGGTTTTGCCCTTACTCCATAAAATGTACGTAGTAATTTGTACGGCGTTCTATTTCCAAGTAGGGTAATATACAAATTAAATCAATTTAGATTTTGAAAAAGTTCATGCCAAAGTTAAATTTGTGAATTTTTAAAATCATTATGTCACGCTGATAATAAAATTAAATCACAGGTTTAAGAAATTTTACAAGGACTGTGGGAGTACAGAGTACTATAGAAACCACTAAACAGTGAAGAAACGCAGTACCGCAGGCAACGAAGCGACGCAGACGGCATGGCATACCATCTCGGGATTCTATCTTTCTTTAACTACTACGCAGTATGTTCTCTTCTTCATCTCTTCGCATCACTTCTGTAAATGCGTTACTGATTTCCGGCGCCGGTGATTTCTCTTCAACTCCTCATTCCTTCTGCAGTTCAGTTTCCCATCCTTCGCTCGGATTTGCGCATCTTCAACTTCTCTTCTTCACCTCTTCGCATCACTTCTGTAAATGCGTTGCTGTATTTGTTCGATTAACATAATGTCATAATCACCGAACCTTATTTATCATAACCAAGTCCTGCATGCCCTATTAAGTTTTTATACTTTTTTCCGTTAATGTGTTCAATATCTCTACGGAATAACTGTTGCTTTGATATTTATTGGGTTGTTTGTTTGCCGTGTGAAGGAACCTGTCGAAGTTATAGAGGCTAAGCAAATTCCAAGCATTTTATGATGTCGACGTTTACGTGGAGGATTGAAAATTTCTCGCAATTGGATGCTAAAAAGCTTTACTCTGTGACGTTTATAGTCAATGAGTACCAGTGGTATGCCCCCCAGCCCCCTGGACATTGGTTGAAAAACATTCAATTTTGCCTCGATGAGTTTTACAGTTTTTTCCTTGTTTCTGCAGGAAGTTGATTCTTTATCCAAAAGGAAACAATACAGATAATCATCTGTCTCTCTACCTAGGTTTGGCTGATTCCTCTTGCTTACCCAATGACTGCAGTGTGCCAACAAAGTTCAGCATTGCTCTCTTAAACCAGATTGACAAAAACAAATCCCTCAAAAAAGGTATTTAATTTATGTACAAGTACAGTTACATTTGTCTTTTCTCTTTATTTGTTCTCTTATTGTGATTTATCCTTTGTTTTGGGTTCCTAAACTTTAGGTTGCTCGTTATATACTTGCTCAATACTACTCACTTGTTATTGTAATTTTGCATTATGCAGAGTCCCGCCACAGGTTCAATACTCAAATAAGTTAGTGGGGCTTCACTAAATACATGAGACTTAATCAACTCAATGAGGAGGGAGGCTATCTTGTTAATGATACATGCTTGATTGAAGCAAAATTATCTGTTGTCACTAATAAAGTAAGTTAAGTAGACTCGCATGCTATCGGACTAGTTTTTATATTATATATACACTTTGACTGCCTTCATAAGTAGGATTAGAGCATATTGAGCAACACATTTACTCAAATCCCACCATCATTGTTGTTTTCTGATAACCTGATTCATTCACATGTAAAGAAGAAGAACTAACCTCATTTAATCATTTTTCTTAGGCTGAATAAGATATTTAACACAAAAGAATGATACACGTAAATCAGTACTCATGCTGTACTCCTATTTGCATTAATGTTTTTCCTTTCTTTTCGCATGTGCATGTGGTCAGGATTTTGGATCAGTAGAATCTGTTTATGTCAAGGCTGAATCGCTTCTCGATTCTCTTCCCAAGAAACCATCTAATTCAGTATCTAACCCTTCACATGGGATGCCTTCATTCAAAGGACACTCAATTTTTGCAAAAGAAGTACTTGATAAATTGATATCATGCCCTATGGATGATTTGGCTGATCCCAAGAATGAAGCTTCAATGATGGAGGCTTTGTCTGTTCTCAACGACAATCTCTCTTTGTTTAGTGATATACAGGCCAAAGAAATTATGAACTTGAAAGCCACTTTTCCACAAGCAATGCAGGAATGGAGGGACTCAATTCAAGTCAAGGGCAGCGGAGACCACACTTGGTCTACATTTGAGAAGACCAAAAGTTTGCTTGAAGATTTAATGAAAACTGATCAGAATATTAGGACTAAATTGGAGGGGCTAAAGCAGAATGAAAAGGAATTGAAGGCTGAGCTTGAGGTGCTTAAGAGCAACTGTCGACAACTGAAGGTGGAAAGAGAAGAAGTATCGAAGCAGATGAAAATAGTTCTTTCTCTTGCTAAAGAGCAGGCTAGCAAAGTGGAAGAAGAAGAGGCGGAGATGGATTGTGCTAACAAAAAACTGGAGCAGAGGTTGAAGTCTACGTGGGCTTCAATGAGACAGCTCTTTGCCTGAGAATATACGACTATGTCTTATAAGTTTTAACTTGCAAATTTCAGCATTTTGCCTTTTACTGAAGTTTGATGTTGCATCTTTTTGAATCGCTAGTCCATGATGCGTCAATGTGTCAAACGTCAAGTCTTTTCTCATATTAGTTACATAGTTTTAAAATGGAGCGATGTTGAACGTTTCATTTGGTTTTACTATCTAGACGCTCTAGTCTATATGAGATTTTTATGAAACCTCTGATACTCATTTGGACATGATGACACATAATAGTCTGCTCTTTGATATGTTGCCTTCTTTTCTTTTTTTAATTATGAGTTTAATGCACCAAACTCTTTGTGATATACCAAGCTCGATCTAGAAACTTGAACTATTAGGGAACCTCTTGAGAAAAAGTGATTTTATTTTTGAGTAATTAATACTCCTTCCGTCCCACAAAACTTGACCAAAGTTGATTTGCACGTGGATAAATAAAGTAAAAATTGTGTAGTTGAAATTCGTGCAGAAGAGAGAAACAATTTTAGTCAAACTACCTCTGTCCCACTAAGATTGGGACAAGAGAAGGTGACATGATTATTAAGAAAAATGAGTTTGTGTGGTTGATATTAAATTGATAAATTAAGAATAAAGTAAAAATGATTTAGAGCCACATAAATTTTACCAAATTTGATATAGAACAATCTTAGTGGGATTTCTCGAAAATGTAAAATGGGACAATCTTAGCGGGACGGAGGGAGTATTACTTACTTAAAATCGAAATGACAAAGTATTTTAAGATGACCAAAAAACGAAATTTGGCTAAATTTTCCGGAGGGAGTATAAATTAAATTTACTCCAAAATCCAAATGATGAAATAATCCAATATTAGCAAAATTAGAATTATTACATTTTATTGCAACTCCTATCAACTTGTTTTCATTTGTTTGAGAACGATTGATCACAACTTAGTTTGTCAATCATTCAAAAATAGTCGCTATTTAGATTGCTCAAATTTGACTTCAACATTAATAGAAAAAGCATCTTTCAAACGTTAGTTGTTACAACTGACAAAATAAATGACAATATCAATAGTCGGTATACTAAATGATATGAAAGATGTTCTTTGTATTCACCGTCACTTTAAGTTCTTTAACAATGTCACCACGCAGAATTAAACCGATTATTTTTTTAGAAAAATCATGGCCCTGAGATTGGCATCGATCGTCCTCTATGCAAGCACTTTTTTCTTATTTATCTCTTTGATTAAGATGATACTCGGAAAAGAAATCCTCTCTACAGGATCCCAAGCGAGGTGCATGATTCAAATCGATTTCTTTTATAATAATACCTTAATATCTAAAGGAGAGCTATTTGGTACATTAGCACTTAATTTTCTCTGGCATCCTAACTTTGATTAGAATGAGGCGGTGATTTTCTTTTATAATAATACCTTAATATCATTGATCAGCCCAAATAAATATAAGAAACTATACTCCTTATTTATACATAATATAGTGAACAACCTTTTTAAAACGTAAACTTTAAATTAAATTATTCATTCTCAAACAAATTAAATATACAAAGGAAGATTTCCCAAAATAGGAGTAAATGATGTTTGAAATTCCAAAATAGGACTACTTTATTTTTATTCCCGAAATGGGACTAACATGACAGTATTTACTGTCATCTTGTAGCCGTGACTGCCAAATAGTTGCAGTATAGTGCATTTAACATGACAATATTTATTATAATTAATGACAGTATTTTTCAATCATGCCAGTTGATGCACACTAATTAGTAGTGCATAATTACATGTTTTTATGTTTGATTTATGTTAATTGTTTGACGTTTTATTTAATTTGTAAACATTTATGTGATTTCAGTTGTAATTGTATTTTAGTCTTTATTTGTAAGTTGTAAAGTTTAGTTAGGATTTGTGGTGTTGGAAAGGAAGACTTTGAAGTGAAGAAAAAGAAGATTTGGCTGCCCAGGAGCAAATACCCGACCGGGTATAACACTTGACCCGGTCGGGTAAGAAGTGAAAAACGAAAATGCAAAGAAAGTGCATGGCCCGGTCGGGCCCACTACCTCACCCGGTCGGGTGAGAAGTGACCGGGGACAACCCGATGTGCAAAGATCACCCGAACGTGAAGAATATCCAATTTTTGCTCTCACCCGGTCGGGTCCCCTACCCCACCCGGTCGGGTCTGACTTGACCTGGACACTTTAACATGCCGAAGATCACCAGAACGTGGGGAAATATCTGATTTTGACCGGACCCGGTCGGGTGAGTACTTGACCCGGTCGGGTACCCGGCCAAAGGTGTTGAAAAACACCTATAAATAGCACACTTTCTCTTCACAAAAAAGAATCCCTTCTTCCATACTCTTTAGCTCAGTTTAGAATATAATAGCATTTCTTTATATTTTTCTAGCTATGTTTAGTCTCCAAATGAGGAGCTAAACTTCCATTCTTGGTGTTGCTCTTGAAGCTTGTTGATTATTAAAGTTGTGAGTTATTTTCTTAACTTCTTTCCTTGAATATTAATTAATAGTTCTTTCCTTAATATCATCTCTATATTAATGTTGGGGAGTGTTGCTAAGATGACAATTAGTTAACATCTCGACATTAGTTAGAATGATATTTTCTTCCTCTATATTAATGTTGGGGAGTGTTGCTAAGATGACAATTAGTTAACATCTTGATATTAATTATAGTAGGATTCATCTTCTTTAATAATATTCTTCCTTGATATTAATTGATTCCTACTCATATTTCATATTAATATTTTGAACATTACTTAAAGGATCAACTAGTTTTGTTTCATATATTAATTATTACTAGAAACGATCAACGAACCGATGGTTAATCGTTGATGGTTTCACAAGTAAGTAACTTCGGTTTATTAATGCACGGTCGTGGTTAATAAACTTAAGATGGATTAATTTTGTTGGTTAAACCGAAACCGTTGTGTTGAGGTTATCAATCTCAATTGATTTCATCAAGGAGTTAGAAAGATTAAATGCTACTATTAAATCGGTATAAGACGTTGTTCTATATTTGATTAATAATAAGGGTTATTAATGAACGGTCGTTGTTAATAACTACCCTCGATGAAGTGGATATACTCCCCGATTGAGTATTCGAGAGGGAATAAGTTATAGATATAACAATGATCGACTAAAATATATCAACAAGTGGAAAGTAGCAATGCCAAGTCCTTTTTATCTTTGAATTAAACACATATAGGTTGTTCATCTTAGTTCTTAATTAAATTAAATCACTCAATCCAAACCCCCCTTTTATTTACTAAGTATCATAAAAAGAGAATTATTCCTTTCCCTGTGGATACGAACTCTACTACGCTATAGTACGTATAAGTGTTAGTATTGAAAATTATTTTGACGCACCGTGACAAAGTGCTCGTCAAATTTGGCGCCGTTGCCGGGGAAAGGCAATTACTTTTCTTTTTATTTTATCTCATAAAAATCAAAACAAAAAAAAACATAAAAAAAAATCTCTTGCTCTTCTATTTTCTGAGCTAATATGAGTAAATGGATACCAACACATCATCCCTAGAGAGTCAAATTTCTAGCTTAACATTTTTAGTAAAGGAGTTTCTCTTATGCTCAAACGTTCAAGATACCAAGGCCTGCAACAGTTGCATGTCACAAAGGCATCTTACGGATTTTTGCCCCAAGCTGCAAGAAGAATACTTTGAACAGAGTGATGATGTTGTTTTCCAAGAGAGATGATTCATTCTCCAACACATATAATCCATACTCAAGTTATTATTCCAGCATGTCCACTGAAGACATGATCCGAGCTCTCACTATATATGCATCCAACCTAGTTTTTCTTACTTCTTTTTGGAGGTTAGAACTTAGAACAACAACGTTATCCTTTATTCTCTAAAAATTCTTTTTGGAGGTTAGAAGAACAACGTTATCCTTTATTCTCTTAAAATTCAAGTCAAACCCAAATTTATTTTACAATTTTAACTGAGGGAGTATTAGATCTGGGCTTTCATTCTAAAGTATGAACCTTATAAGAGGAGTCCAAAATCTGTTATTTGAGCTTGTAATGTTTTATAGGGTCAGAATCTGTTGTCTTTAACACGACTCATTAGAAGATGAAAATTTTGAAATCCGTGTATTCGATGAGGCTATACAAAGATCGTGTTGCTTGTATGATATTAACATGTTCTCATGTTGAGCTTCAATCCTAAATTTTCTTCTTTGTAGTATTCCAATTCTCATACTTGAATTTGTATTTTTCTATTGTGCCAGTTTGAGATGACTTAACAGTTAACACTGTGAACATTTAGATTGGTGTTTGTTAAACGTGGTCATAAACAAACTCAAATGAATCTTGTATAAGGGTGATCATGCCTTGATAAGTCCCCTACTATGCCCCAGACTAAACAATCAGTTGAGCCACACACTCTACAAGTATCTTAGAGTTTTTGTTGGTCCGGCCATTTTTGCATTTGGTTGGTTATTATGCTGAATGAACTGTGAAGGAAGAAGACAAAGTTTGAGCAACAAACCACACCTCCCATGGATAAGCTGGTGTCAAAATTTACATGGAGGATCGAGAATTTCTCGCAACTGGATGTTAAAAAGCTCTGTTCTCCCACGTTTCTTGTGAACGAGAACAAATGGTATGCCCCTTCTAGTTGGATGGACACCCGTGAAAAAATAATGTGTGTGAATGAAGATTTTTAATTTCATTTTTCATTTGTTCCTATTAAATAGTGATGCATTTATCTAGAATATTCTACGTAGAAAAGGCTAGAGATGATCTAGAGAGTTAAAGTTAGAAGTATTCTAGAAAATTCTCTACTAGAGAATTCTTATGTAAAATCTAGAGTAATTAGACATAGATGTAGAATACTCTAGAATCATAGCATTTAATAAGGATCTAGAATGATCCTCTAACTCCTATAAATAGGACTCATTGTACTCATTTGCTCACTGAAGCAAACCAAGCAATATCAATACAATACTACTTTTCTAGAGACAAAAGTTCTACTCTAAAACACATCCTCTACACTACACCTCACTAAAATCACTTAACATATTCATACACCAACAAGCTCTTCTATTTTCTAACAAGTGGTATCAGAGCTTGTTCGATCATAAGCGGGCGTTATGGCGACATCAAGCTTCTCGATATCGACTATGATTTTCAATGGAGAAAGCTATGTCTATTGGAGTTTCCGTATGAAGACTTGTCTAGAATCACATGATCTCTGGGATATTGTTGAAGAAAGAATCATCATGCCTGAAA